CGGCTTCCGGGTCGGGCAGCTCGGCTTCCGGGTCGGCGCGCGAGGGCTGGCTCTTCAAGTGGACCAATTACATCAAGGGCTATCAGCGCCGCTGGTTCGTGCTCAGCAACGGCCTCCTCAGCTACTACCGGTGAGCCCCGCCCCCCTGCGACGCCCCACCCCCACTTGCGCGCGGCGCCCAGGTGAGGCCACGCCTCCCGCTTGGCCACGCCCCCACATCGAACCCGGCCTCGCTCCGGGCGGCCCCACGTGGGGCAAGGGCGGGCACAGGGCCCTGCCTGGAGCTCCGCGGGGGGGGGGCCCATACCCACCCTGCCCCAGCAGAGGGCGGGGGATGCTGCTGGTCTGGCAGGGGCTCTGTTCTGTGGCTGTGGCCCTAGGGCGTCCCCGGGGGAAGAGTCCTCCTGTAGGCGCAGGTCTGCCCTGACCTTGGGTTGGCTGCTGTTCTTCAGGCCTTAGCCTCCCCCGCCCTGTGTGGTGCTGGACCTCGTGCCCCTCGGGAGGAACTGGCCCCCAGGGCATGTGCAGCTTCCCAGAGCCCTGTGCCTGCACGTAGCCGAGGTGCTCCTTCTCCCCCCTGGCACTTGGAGCTGCCAGCTGCTCGGGGAGACAGGGCAGGAGGTGCCAGTGCCCCGCTGTGCTGCTGCAAGGGACAACCCAGTTAAGCCCAGGGAGCACCTACTTTGAGAGACTTGCCCTAGAGCGGCCGGCTCCTTAGCATCTCTAGGTATGAGAGATATTCCCTCTCGGCAGAGGAAACCTGGTAACTTTCCAGTGGGGAGAGAGCAAAAAGACTGGGCTTGCTGGTCAGAGGAGAGGAACAAGCAGGATCCCAATAACAGCACGCGGGAGGGTAAATGGTGCAGAGAAGGGAGATTGGGAGCCACTTCTCTCACTGTCCCTCAACTTGTAGACACAGGGACATGGGGCTTATGGAGCCCAGTGTGTACTTGGACAGAAAGTCTCGCTTGCAGGAATTTGTCAGCACCCAGACCTGAAAGAGGTCCCAGTAGGGTTGGACATTGGTTGGGGAGCAGAGAAATCCAGCATTACCATGCTTAATAATGACAGGTATTGGCAGGATGCCAAACCTTTGGTTTCCAGGTTCAAGTGGATCTCTAACTCTTGGACAAGTCAGAATCTGTTGCAGGCAGTGTTGTTGCTCCACACCTACCTAAGTGAGCTTTATGCTGCTTTTTCTGAGGCATTGGGGTCTAGGCATTCTCCAAGTATAAGACTTTTGAAGGACCCTGGTCTGGCCCAAGCTGGCAGTTCCTGTTCCTATCCAACTACTGGTGTACTCTGCAGCTCCTGCAGGTGCTTTGGGAAAGGGGAGATGGCCTGACCTCACTCCATCTATACTACCATCGCATGTATAGACCAGATCCCTCCAGGAAAGACCACCCTCATCATAGCAACAAACTTATACAGGTACCCTGGGAGAGGAAGATATCCAGTCTTTCATCCCATTTTGCCCAAGGCCTAGAGGTTCTGACTGATGGAGGTCCAAGGCAGACACCCATCTGGACTAGTAGGGTCCTTTCCTGCTGCTAATGTTTGGAGCACTGAAAGATCTCCAGTGCACAGTGGAGCAGCAGGCTTATCAACTCCTGCTGCTGTTATGGCACCAGGACTCTGGTGTCATAACACCAGGTGTCCCCATGTCTCATGGGGACACCTGGGGACCAGCCTCTACCCTTCCCAAGCCAAACACCGACCAGCAGGTTGCTGAGCATCTCCAGTTAAGTTGATCAGTGTTGCCTATTAAGCAGAGCCCTGGTTTGGGGCACAGGAGACCAGGGTCCTTTTCCTGGTTCTGCCACTAGGCATCTGGGTGATCTCGTGTGTCCAACAATGATATGCCCTCACTGCTTCTAGGAAGCGCTCTGAACCCTAATTAGCAAAAGCTGTATGCCAGAGCTACCTCCAAGGCCTGAACGTAGCCGCGTCCCAGCCAGAGAGGCCTTCATTGACTCGGTTTCCACCCCCCAGAGAGCAAGAAGCCCCAGTAGGCTTCACATCTGAAATAAGTCTTTTCTTGGAAGAGGGTGTCTCTCCGTGAGGAGAAAGCAGTAAATACTCAGAACAGTGGAAGTGACGAGTACAGAGCCTTCTAGCCCTGTTTGACTTCCCCAAGCTCCTGAGTACTACTCGTGTTTGGCTCTCCTCTCTCCCATGGAGTCTTCTTCCTTGACTGGTCAGTTGGACACTGAGTAAGGGTCCTACATCTGCCTGCTCTAATGGGGCTTGCTGGACAACAGATGGTTTAGCTACTGTGAAGCCTGTGATTTATTTTTTTCCTCCCCTCTGAGTCACTGGGAGATGAGGGTTCATCCCCACACAGAGCAGCAGTCTCCCATCAGCCATGCTATACTGTCCCTGAAGCTTAACGGCTGAGCAGAGCTATGAGCACTGGGCAAAGCAGCAGGGAAGTGACTCCTTTGTCCTGCTGGCTAGGACCCTGCCGGACAGTTGGCCAGCTCTGCCTCTGGGCTTCCAGCCTTGCTCACTCAGCACAGCTCTGGCATTCAGCATTCATCACCTGTGGTCCCTTGATTGGGTTGAGGTAGGGGTGACCCAGGCTGCTGGATAGCTTCCTGCCAGCCCCTCACTAAACTAGCACATCTTTTACACCCCTTGTCTGGATGCTGAGCTGTTACATCCCTTGAGACCTAGAGGAAATGCTGTCAGCTGTGAGCCCCTTCAAGTCTGTCAAGCCCCACTGTCCTTGTTGTGGATTCATCCCCAAGTTGAGCTAGTGAGACCCTTCCCACAGAGAGTGGTCAGCCCCATCCTTCTTCCTCACTCAGACCAGAGGTTTGAATTAAGGAGGCTTACAGTCAGCAATAATGTGTGCCAGAGAGGTGCAGAGGGCTACCTCTACATCACCCTTTGCCTAGTGAGTATGCCTCCCAGCCCCCTTACCAGTACTGCCCAAGGGACTTCCTGTGGCTTGGGCAAGGCCTTACCTCTCTGCCTTGTGGTCATGGGGTGGGGAGGCTCTGGGACTGTGAACCAGTGATGCTTCACTTATCCTACCCCCTTGTCAGTGTAGAGGGAGGATGTTCCCTTAGGTTGTGTCTGGCTCTGGACAGTGGGAGCTGCTGTTTGGCAGGGGCCAGCAAGGAGAAGATCTAGTAGGTACCTGAAATAATTCTGGCGCTACCCATCCAGAAGTGTTGCAGGCTGCCCTGCAGTGACCTGTTTGTCTGGCATAGCAGAGCTCTGGGCTATGACCCAGGGCAGTCCCTTTAGCTCCTGTGGCTCGCCATGCTGCCCCCTTCTGCACTAGAATTGGCCAACACACCTTAGGGCCTGGAGGGAAAGTGTCATAATGAGGTAAGAACTTGTACAGTATCCCCTACTCCCGACTGGGGCATTGAGCCACTACCAGCTCAGAGGGCACCCTCTGCCAAAATGCTCGTGCTGCTGCTTGGTAGCTGTGCCTAGAGTGTCTCCTGTCCCCAGTTGACCTAGCTCAGCTTCCTGTCTGTCTGGAGTGCAACTTGGGAGGATATTTCACTGACTGCAGCCTGGACAGAAAGGCAGAGCAAGTAGATAGCACCAGAAGCCAGAACTGCAGTTTGGGAGTGGATGATGCCTCTTGTGCTCTTAGAGGTCAGCAACCTCTGTGAGGCTTTCCAGCTGTTTGAGGAGTCACTCCTTTGTATCTACGTTTGCTTGGGGCACATCTGGTTAAGCTGAGGTTTCCCCTGAAGGCTCCTGAGAAGGAGCTTTATAACCTTTGTGTACCCACTTTCCCATTTCCCCAAGACCCCTGACTGTTTGGCTTCCCAAATGGTATAGCCCCCAAGTGCTCTGTGAGGGAGTACTCCTGCTTTATGCTTCTCTCTAGCTATAAGCTTCCAGGGCGTATAATAGCTGCTTGCATCTCCCCACAGCAACAATGGCTGTGAAGTGAGAGGATGGTCTGGGGGTTAGCGCAGAAGCTGCAAAGAGCTGGTGTCTGTTCCCTGTTCTGCTACAGACTGCTTGCGTGATCTTAGCCAAGTCACTTGGCCTCCATCCTCAGTGTGCAGGATGTACAGCAGCATGATCCCAGCTCATGGAAGTGTTAAGATTGTGAGGAAGTTGGATGACCTGGTGATGGTTCTGCAGTGAGTAGAGTCTCACCCCTCACCAGAGGGCTTGAAGTGACTTCCTTGAAGCTGCTCAGAGTCTGGTTAACATCCTCAAGCTGATGCTGAGGAAAGCTGTGGGTCTGGACTCTGCAGCCCTGCATTAGGTCACCCTGGGAGGATTTCCTTTCCAAACCAAAGTGCTTGGAACCGCATTTAAACAGGAGAGAGCATAAATTATGCAGAGAGTGGTTCTTCCTCTGCTGCCCTTTGGATGGAGGGTAGGGGGTATTCCCCTTGTGCTAGAGATGTAGTATCTCAGAAGCATCCCAGGCAAACTGGTTGGTGTCTGGCTTTGCTCAGGCTTTCCCGGTTATCAAGTGGCCACACAGAGGAACTTGCTGAAAGGAACCTGGTTTCAGTCCTGACTGAGGGGCGGGGGTGACTGCTGCTTAGCTGTTTTCCTGTAGCTCAGCCTGTATTATTCATGGAGTAACCAGAGCCTGCTGGGTAAGAATAGCTGGCAACACAGGCTCCACAACATGGGCTCATGTTTCACAGCAGGGGCAGCAAGCTGCTGGGCAGGGAGAATCCACCATTTCCTTTCCCCTTCCAGGCTCCTTGCCTGATGTTTCTAACCAGAGACTCCCCAAGTTTTGGGAGTGGCTTCCCCTAAAATAAAGCAGTAATCTCTCTGCTGTCCTTGACCATCCCCCTTCCCTCCCCCAATCCTTGAAAGGTTGACTTATGTCAACCTTTGCCAGCCCCAAGCCACTGAGGGGTAAAGGGAGAGGCTAGGGTGTGCGCCAGCCCTTGGCCTTACAGGGCAAGGGAGATGGCTCTGTGCCCTACCATGTGGATACCAAGGGAACTTTGCCCTCATGCAGTGCTGAGCTGGAGGTGGGGGCGTAAGCTCAGTACCTCGGGCAGGTCTGATTGGCCGCTGGGGTGATCATGTGAGCGTTGGGGCATGGAGGATATGTGTGGGCTTGCCAGAAGGGATGGCCACACAGCAGGCTTATTTCATCTGGAAGTGGGGGAGAGACAGCACGCCCTTAGCGGGGGTGGGGAGGCGGAGGAATGTGTGCTGTACCAGATGTACTGCGTCCTGCTGTGGCTGCCCTGGGGCCCTCTCTTCCTGCTGCTGGTGCCCAGTCAGCTTGCCCACGGGGCATAGGGAAGGCCTGCTTGCAGGACCTAGCTCTGATTCTTCCTGTTGGGTGGAGGTGGCTGCTCTGCACACACCCGCTCTGTGCACTCCTGGGCTTGTTGGCAGCGGCAGTGACGTGGCTGGCTCAGTGGCAAGAGAGGGAGGCTGGGGGTAGCTTGCCAGCAGGCCCTTCGGTGCATGTTTGTGCTGAAGGTGGAGGATTGTCGCTCTGAAACCACACCCGCCCTGCAAGCTTATCAGGCTGGCCCAGTCCGGACCTGGAACACACAATCCTTAGCTGTCTGGCCTGACTGGAGTGTGGCTGACCAGCCAGTTTGGGCAGTTCCTAGGCATTTAGATGTTACTCTATTAATAGCAGCACCCACCAGTAAAGATCGCAGGAGCCTAGGAAAAGGCTGGACCCTTCATGGAAGAGTGGATTAACCTGTTTCTGAAACAAACTAGGGGCAGTGAGGGGGGAAGGGAGGTTGTGAGACGTGTCCTCTGCAGACTGCCAGGGACGGGTCAGAGCTAGTGGGCAGCAGGCCTAGTAAATGTTTGCAGCTGAAATCAGACTAAAACCCTGCCCTTTCTTCTGGTGAGTGCTCAGGTATTTCACAGCCACCTGTCTGGCAGATTCAGGGGTGACATTGGCTGCATTTGGAGCCCACCACAGAGACAGGGGGTTTTCTCTTTCTGTTGAGCAGAGATGATGTGGCTGTTGCGAGGAGGGACCACTTGGCCTCACAGTAGAGCTCTTCTTGGGGACACTATTGTATTCCCCTCTCACCGCTGCCTGGGTTACTCATTGTGCCTCTCACTACCACTGTAGATCAAAAGCAGAGATGCGTCACACCTGTCGCGGGACCATCAACCTGGCCACTGCCAACATCACTGTGGAGGACTCCTGCAACTTTATCATTTCCAACGGTGGAGCACAGACCTACCACCTGAAGGCCAGCTCAGAGGTGGAGAGGCAGCGCTGGGTCACAGCCCTGGAGCTGGCCAAAGCCAAGGCTGTGAAGATGTTGGCAGAATCAGGTATGGGCCAACATGTATGACCCCTGGCTATGACGTTGTGCTGCATGGTGCAGGGACAGCAGTGCTAGAGGAGAGTAGGCAGAAGTCAAACTCCCTTCTTGTGAGGAGGGGGCGGGCTCCTCCCAGACAAGACTTGGGTGCTCCTTGCTGGAGTTTTGTTCATCATGCAGACCCAGTGCGTCTAGGTTTAATAGTGTTCTCCCCACCACAGCTGCTAGGAGCCCCCGGGGCTTCCCACTCAGCTCTCTAGCCCAACAGCTGGTCAGAGCCTCTCCACCATCGGCACAGAGTGCTTCAACGCCACACTCACCAGTTATCTTTTAAATTTGGGGCTTCATACAATTAACTCCTCTCCCAATGAGGCCTCCTGGCACATTCTGTGCTCTTCAGATTTCCAGCTCCTTAGGGCAAGGACTGTGCACCTCCAGCCCTGCCTGATACCAAGCAAAGCACACGCTGCTGTGACTTCTCAGTGCCCTTTGGATCATGTGCCTCATGTACCATAGCAACACATGGCCTGGGGCCTTCAGAACCAAGGGGCTTGACAGATGGACTCTTCTACACTGTTCCAACTCCAGCTCTTCAGGTCCCAGACCCCCTTCTGCTTGCTTTCTTGCGTCACAAATATGTCAGGCTCCTCATCCTGCAGCTAATCTGCCATGTGTAGCTACAACAGACGCTAGTCTTGCTTCTGCACAGACTTTTAGCTCTGTTGGATTTTACTCCTGTTACAGGTGGTGACAGGAACATGCTCAGATGCAAAAGCCCCTCCTGCAGCCCTTTAGGGTCCCTCTAGAGACTTAGGTGGTCATTGAGGCTAAGAATCGGGCCCTCTGTGACAGGAAGGGTCTGGGTTCCTTGGAGGCTCAAGTTGCTCTGTAATAGTCTCAGAGTTTTTGGCCCTGTGGAGCCTGCCAGCAGGACCAGAACATACTGCCAAGGTAATTGGGTGTTTTTTAAGCTGGTTGGTTTACCATCTGCCTTGAATCCACTCTCTTAAAGGAGCAGTGCTTCAGGCACACCACGTCTATCCCCAGGCTGTCTGAAGTAATCTTGTACATTCTTGAAGGCAAAACCTTGGGGTGTCCTCAGACTGCAGCCACCGCAGCTGCTGTCACTTTAGTACCTTGGCATATAGAAGAAATGATGGACAACTAAGGTCTTCCCTCTCTTTATCTTTCCAGTAAGTCCCTTTAGAGCTGAGGTGTCAAATATCTGTCCTGTGGTCTGAATCTGACCCATAGAGATGGGTCATCTGGCTTGCTGCACTTTCTCCTGGATTGGATGACCCCACATGCCTTGTCACCATGTCTGTCAGAGCCACTATATCAGTGCAGTTACGAAACCTTAATAGCTGCCAGCAACCTCCTCCCCCACCAGACCCTGCAATTCTTCTGTGAGTGGCAGGGGAAAGGAGTGGGGGTGTGGGGCGGCTGCATTAACCCCCTGGATTCCAGAGTCATGCTGATACAGCATCTCCGGCAGCCTCAAGGATTAATACCACAGTTTGTCCAGCCTCAAAAGCCCTATAGTTCAGATCTGGTCTGCAGAACCAAATGAGTTTGCTGTCCCTGCTTTAGAAGGAGTCAGTAACTTCCTTCTGCTGGTAAGTACCTTGTTGGCATACAGCATCTAGCACAATTATGCCATTTCTTACATGGGAATTTTAGTTGGTCAGTTCGGGAGTGTTTTACCAAAGGAGTTTGGGAAAACTGCAGCATTAGAGAGGTGAAGTGACTTGCCCAAGCTTAGCCCAGCAGGCCAGTAACAGAGCTGGGGATAGACACTCCAAATGTTCTGCTTCCTAGTCTTGTGCTCTAGCCCAATGATTCTCAGCTGGGGTGCTGTGGCACCCTGAGCTGTTGTGAGATCCTTTCCAGGTTGCCATGCTGGCCCTGCCATGCCTCTCTGTTTCCCAAAGACACTATGCAGGGTCAGAGCAGAAAGTGGCTGCAAGCATAAACCAGTGTGATTCTGGAGACAGGCTATTACTCTCTTTAAGACCCAATGATAGTGCTCACTTCTCTTCCCTTTCCAGTACCGTGGTTACATGGCTGTTAAGGTAAGAGTCCTGCAGGAGGTTGGGAGGTAAGGTAAGAGTTGCATGCCCCAGCTGTATCAACCAGATACTTTGCTGTCAGGCCATCCTGT